ACATAAAAATTGCTTTTGCAATAATCAATTGAACGTAATAGAAAAATTTGTTTCAAAACAAATAATTTACTTCGAGTCAAACTACTAAATTGTTTACAAGTTATACGTATATTTAAAAATTGTTCTCGTCAAAATAACATTATGGTTCTCGTTACTTTTTACTCACCATATTGTGCAAGATAATATTTAGATAATTCGTTTTAAAAGATAAAGACAGCACCTACAAACACCAATATATTTATGCATTCTATAGAGTTCAGACCAACAGACGTATTTTTTTTTTAAATTTATCTGTTAGATCTATATAAGTAAATACATTTTGTATTATACAGTACACTTTAGAATCAGATTACTACATTATGTATGTATGTATGTATGTATGTATGTATGTATATATTGTATTGTATTCGTTGCGTCTCTTAAGATAATAAGCTAAAAAAAAGAAAAATACTATTTCGTCGCATAAATATTTTCTTTTGAGAATATTAAGGGATGGTAAACGCTGCTCATTCAAAAATGTCGTTACCAGTGACCTTTGAAAAATCCGTAGTTTTATGTTCACTTTAGATTTCATTACTTAGTCTATACAGTGCACRTTAAATATTTAACACCGTATCTCGAACACTCTGTATACACCCCCATTCACGCGACTCTACAACGACATTATTATATCACGTGCCAGCCAAACATACTAGGTAGTACTGCTGATGATTCGCTTACCGCAACTTTACGGTAAATTCACTCTGTAGTCTAGACGGTGGGAAATGAATGTTAATGACTAACCTTATTATCGTTCTTCGTACTTGAGTAAGTCAAACCATCATGAATTAACATTGGGAAAAGGGCCACAGAGGTTTGAAAGAGAATCGAAACAACAATATAACACTATAAAAAAACACACCCTCAGAACTTCTAGCTAAATGACATAATAGATGCAAGTCAGTTTAGTCATCCACCTCTTGGATATTTCATCTGAAAACAACGTTTGTTTTGGTTGCAAAGACCAACGAGAGACGATATAAGTCGAGTTTATGGATTGTATAATATATATATATA